ATAATAATAATATATTCTATTTGATGATTAAACAGATTATAATATTCACTGAGGACTTTGCGTTGGTTTTCTTTTTTGGTCTTTGACTCCATTGCTAAAATTTCCTACTTTTTTTATCTTAACCTCACAGTACTTTCTGACGGCATCAAGCTCTATGCTTGCTAATCCGGCTTTTTTTCTAAAAGTTAATTTCTCAAAAATTCCTTGGAAGTATCTTTATTCGAAAATTTGCTAGCAAACATTTGTTGTAAGTTTTTAATAATAATAATAAAATATATACTTTTTATTTTTTGCTAAAAATGTATTTTTTTTTTTTTCCAATTTATAAAAAAAATATTAGTTTTTTGTTATTCAACCATAATAGTAGCTATTTTAATGATATTTTATTTTGTAGATTTTTTTTATAGATATTTATTTGAGCTGATTATTGAGTTAAATCAATATTTATATAAATCATGTTAAATTTGAGGTGAAATGTTTAAGTTTATGTAAAGAAACTGGCAACTGTTTTTTTTTTTTTGTTTCTTTTTTAGTTTTTTTGGTTGTGTTTACAGCAAAATCTAACAAAACCTCAAAAATCTTAAACTAAGGGCTGTTGACTTACACCATTATGATTCTCACCGGCTCATTTTATAAATATATTTTTTTACAGATACTTTTTTTTATGGATAGTTATTGCGTTGTGTAAAAGTCTTTTAACTCTATAAAAAAACAAAAAAACTTTGTCTTAAGACAAACATGGCTGACAATATAAAAACCTTTGTCTTAACACAAATGCCTTTAAAAAGACCGTTTTATGTTGCGTTTGTAACTTGCTTAACCTCCTTGTAAGTTAACACTTTATTACAGACACTATCGACTAAAATACAAAATATGTCAACCAAAATACAAAATGTAAAATAGTTAGTTAGTGATTTGGTACAAGCTAGTTGTTTTTAAGGTGCTTCCAGCAAAAACCCTAATTTGAGAAAAATTTACATTTTTTATGATTTCAAAAATACATATGGGCAATAATTTTAAGAAAAATTGATTTTAATATCTAAAACAGCAGTTTATCGTCAAGGCAACCAATTTTTTTTCTAGTCATTTTAGAAGACTAACTCATTTTAAAAATACGTTTTGATATTATTGGATTATTTTTTATACATGTATCTTAAGATATATACAACATTAGATAAAATATAGATAAGATATAATGAAATAAAGTATAGATAAGAGAAGAATATAAATAAGATAAAATCTGAAAGTTATTATTGCTATACTTTAAATCAAATTGGCTTGTTTGAGATTAATATTAAATAATTATTTAATTTGATAAAAAAAAAAAAATTGTTGCGTGTGTTATTATTTTGCGTCATTTAATTACGTGTATTACATTTTAGGCGTCATTTATTCAATCTATATTTAGGTATTTCGAAACCACATTAAGAGCACAATGATTTTTATTTTTTTTGTTTTGTAAAGTCCTTGATTTTTTTGCACACTAAAACAAATCCGAATCTTTCAATCGATTACCTTCATTTGCATTTTTATTTGTGACTTCATTTGCCAACGTGCAAATTTTGAAGTTTAGAATAAATATTCTTCTGTTTACTCTTAATGGCCCTATGTTAACCCAGCTAAAAGCATTAATAATGTTAACCCAGCTAAAAGCATTAATAATGTTAACCCAGCTAAAAGCATTATTAATGTTAACCCAGCTAAAAGCATTAATAATGTTAACGCAGCTAAAACCATTAATAATGTTAACCCAGCTAAAAGCATTAATAATGTTAACTCAGCTAAAAGCATTAATAATGTTAACCTAGCTAAAAGCATTAATAATGTTAACCTAGCTAAAAGCATTAATAATGTTAACGCAGCTAAAACCATTAATAATGTTAACCCAGCTAAAAGCATTAATAATGTTAACTCAGCTAAAAGCATTAATAATGTTAACCTAGCTAAAAGCATTAATAATGTTAACCTAGCTAAAAGCATTAATAATGTTAACGCAGCTAAAAGCATTAATAATGTTAACCTAGCTAAAAGCATTAATAATGTTAACCCAGCTAAAAGCATTAATAATGTTAACCCAGCTAAAAGCATTAATAATGTTAACCCAGCTAAAAGCATTAATAATGTTAACCCAGCTAAAAGCATTAATAATGTTAACCCAGCTAAAACCATTAATAATGTTAACCTAGCTAAAAGCATTAATAATGTTAACCCAGCTAAAAGCATTAATAATGTTAACTCAGCTAAAAGCATTAATAATGTTAACCCAGCTAAAAGTATTAATAATGATAACCCAGCTAAAAACATTAATAATGTTAACTCAGCTAAAAGCATTAATAATGTTAACCCAGCTAAAAGTATTAATAATGATAACCCAGCTAAAAGCATTAATAATGATAATGGAGCTATGCCAGAAAATATCTTCTATACTTGTATTTTAATAAGCCATTAATATTCTTGATCTAAGGATTACAGATTCCATTTTGTAAGGATTAGTCTTGCGTAAATCTTATTTGGACTAATATTCCGTTAAACTTTCTTTTGTTGACATTTGAGTTTCATAATTTTTCTTATTTACTGTTAAACCAGATGACAACATCATGAGGTTGTATATATATATATATATATATATATATATATATATATATATATATATATATATATATATATATATATATATATATATATATATATATATATATATATATATATATATATATATATATATATATATATATATATATATATATATATATATATATATATATATATATATATATGTATATATATATATATAAAGACATCTTCCTACTTTAAAATTTTAATAAACTATTAGTGTGTATTTTTTAAGTTGTTTTTAAAAATGCGTTCATTAGAAGCCATTTTATGTATGATATTATACATTAAATGGCTTCTAATGAAAGCATTTTATAAAATAACATTAAAAAGAAACACCAATAGTTTGTCAAAATTTTTAAATACCCAGCACAGTGGACCAGAAAGACCGCCAGGTTTTATGTCGTGTCAATTAAACGAAACTTTTTTTATTTATTAGTATTTATTTTATTATAATAGAAAAAGTTGTTTTTAAAATCTAAACCAAGTGCGAAGGGTCCCAAATGGGGCAAAAGGGAAGATTGAGGGGCCACAAACCCATTTAAGATTTTTTTGTTTATTTTAAATTTTTTTTTTCTCTTACTGAATTTATTTTAGAAGTTTAGATTTGTAAAATTATTTAAAATTTATTATTTTTTATTAGTCAGGTACAGTGCCCCCAGAATCTAATAAAAAGTATAAAATTCTTATTTTTTTTATTTATTTATCAATCTTTATTTTTTAATTTAAATGAATTGAATAAAATTTAAAACAACAAAATGACTAATATTTACAAATACTACTGACATATGGAACATAAAGCACCTAAATATTACTAACTCTTCTTCCGTTAAAATCAATAACAGAAGAGAGGAGCCTTCCACCATACTCTTTGTTTGCAACTTGTTTTTTGAACCTTTTCCACGTTGGTTTGAAATTTGAGTGAACTGATTCTCCACATTGTTCAGCAAATTTAGACAAACCACATTTGTGGTGTTCAACAAAAGGTCGCACATGACACAAGAGTAAATGTACTTTCCAACTAATTGAAAGTTTTTTTCTAAGAATATTTGCAATTTCTTGAGCAGATAAAAAGGAGTTCTTAAATTTTAGAATGGCTTGCTGATACCCAAGCTCAAGTGTTCTACCAAAGCAAGAATCTTTTACAATTTTAAATTCTTTTAAACATTGAACAATTGGCAGAAGATCAGGATATTCATACAAAACAACTCTTTCCAACTCATCAACACACTTTAGTATCTGGTTTAAATTATTCCCATCCCAACCTCTACCTTGATATCTTCTTTGTATAACACTAATATTTTTTAAAAAAATATCAAAACCTGGCCAAAGATCCAATAATAAACACCTTAAAGTTGTTACTATAACTATCAGGATATGTAATTCAGGGGAGGTACTAAATGTTGGATTAGTGTATCTGGATCTTCATCGAGGTAGAGAATTCTTGGATATATTACGTTCATTAAATGTTTCATATTAGACTTCTTTGAACTATTTTCTACAGTGTATCTTTGATACCAATAGTCAAGGCTTCCAAGTGTTCGCAGTTTACCACAAACTTCACTTGAGTCTCCTTCACACCATAGACAAGCTTTTTTACCTGCATGGCTTGATATTCTAAAAACTGCATTAGCACATTCTTAAATTGAAGGTAGATTCTTGCACATCTTCAACTATGGAGAGGATTTGACATCGTTGTACACCACTATTTAAGTATAAATTTGAAGTAGTATTTTCATTAACATCGATAACATTTACAATGACCTTCATGAAACCACCTTTTCCATCCATAGAAATACGAACAAATGCTGACTGGGGATCAAGACAACGTTGAATAATTAAATCAAGAACAAAAATAGATGTGTCTTTAACAAAAAAAAGGTCTTTTATAGAAATTCCACCAGTACTATGAAAGAAGTTGACCTAAAAAATTAACAATAAATTTTAGAAAAACTTTTAATGCTTTAATTAATTTTCAATACTAAAAGATAATTGCCACCTTTTCTATTTGATAAAAATGCGATAAAGACTCTTTTAAGCCACTCATGTTTCAAGAAATGTTGCTTTCTACAGCCAACTTACTTCCCATTCCTTTTCGAAGAGTAGATATCAATAGCCTCGTTTTATTAAGGGAAAGTCTTAACACTATTTGAAGTTCTTTAATCATCTGAAGAGATACTTGTTTAACTGACCTAGGTATAAATGAACAAATTATTAATATCTTATCATTTGATAAATATGTACTCAACAGTATATATATATACCTTCTATTTGCTTTGTTATCAGGACATCCAACTGTAATCATCAATGGATTTCTGCCAGAAGACAAAATAAATTGTTCCCTATTCCCAATTTCGTCCGTCTCGATTTTTGCTTTTATTATACCAGATGCAACTTGCTCTGCTTGCAAATTTCCTAGACTTAATGCTTATAAGATCAGGTTCTCTACTGCAGATAAAGAAGAGCAGTTGTGTAAATATCCTTTTGCAATAGTTGAAAAACATATACTACATAATTTGGAAGACATACTTGAGATTGATATATAAGGAACTTCCTCCGTTTGAATTGTTGAAGATGTTCTTGTCATCATCCTCCATTCAATCTTGAATAAATTTTAAAAGCTCTTTAATAATTATGTATGTATAAATTTGTATATATATATATATATATATATATATATATATATATATATATATATATATATATATATATATATATATATATATATATATATATATATATATATATATATATATATATATATATATATATATATATATATATATATATATATATATATATATATATATATATATATATATATATATATATATATATATATATATATATATATATATATAAATATTTAGATCGCAGAAATAGCGATTTACGGAGCCGAGTTTTGTGCTAAATTCTGTGACTTGTTTTTTTGACGTTTTTTTTAGGTAGCCTAAGGCAAACTTATTTTTGATGAGTTTTTTTTTCGGAAACATATATAAACAAAGTATATTTTTGGAAAGAAGAAGAGTTAAGCTTGTTTTTTATGTTAATTTTACGCACAGTTGTTTACCATTTTTGGAGCATTTGGCTCATGAAAAATAGGTTGGTGTTTACTTGTCAAATTCTTGTCGAAGGACTCTTTATTCCGCTTTTTTGATTCTTTAAATAAGTTTTTACATGCATTTTCTTTGCACATACCAAATTTTATCAAAAAATATTATGTATCAGGTAGTTAAATCACTTGGCACTTTTGGTACCTAATTTCTGTTTTTCCGTCTAAGTTTTTTGAGTGGGGTTAGGCAAACAGTTTTTTTTTTTATTTTTATTTTTAGAAAAGTATATACACATAGTATATTTTCATAAAGATAAAGAGTTAGGCTTGTTTTTTGTGTTATTTTTTATATGATTGTCAACATTTTTTTTGACTATTTTGCTTATGAAAAATATGTTGATGTTTACTTGTTAAATTATTGTTGAAAGAATCTATATTCCGCTTTTTTGATTTTTTAAATAAGTTTCTACATGCAATCCTTTGCACCTGCCAAATTTTATGAAAAAATATTATGTAGCAGTTAGTTAAATCAGTTAAACACTTTTGGTACTTAATTTCTGTTTTCAAAAATTGCCGAGTTAGGGCTGGGGGTGGTAGAGTTTTTTTTTTTTTAATGTTTATTGCATATTGTTTCACTTAGATTGTTAGTAATTAAAAAATGAATGATATAAATGAACTGGGTAATCAAACAGATAGTAAGTTCATATGTTTTTTCATAATAATACTATTGTTTATTACTTTTACAAGTATTTTTTTGTTAAACTTTTAAAAATCATTGACTCGATAAAACCTATTCAATACTTTTTTTTAAGTAACCCCTAATTTTCGTTATTTACGCCTTTATTTTACAAAGTACTTTTCTTTGTTTAATACAAAATTGTTTTATTGGATTTGTTGCCAAAAATGTGTTTTTTTATATATATTACACCTTTTTTAACTTTATATTCATCATCATCTGGTGCAGTTGGTAAGTTAAATAAGTATTTTTTTATTAGATGTTTCTACTTATTCTTTAAAGCTATACTATAAGTTTAATACCTTTTTTTATTTTATTTGATGACACCTTATTTTTCTTTTAGTTTTATCAACATCTGCCAGTGGCAACTTTTTTCAGATCTGTATCGAGTTAATGTCAAAATCAAAGTTATTTTGGTTAATTTTCCAGCTTTGACACCATCTGCTATGGTTGGTAAGTTTGAAAACTTTTTTTTAAAAACAACTTTGTATAGATTTGTTGGCAAAAACTATGTATGTTTTGTTCTTTACATTTTTTTTTACCTTTATCTACATTAAGAACATTTAGTATGTTAATCTTTTATGATTTATCTGCTGTATAATACTTAGTCTTTTGATTATTGTTTAAATCATTACACAAACATTTCTAATGTTTCCTTCTTGTTTAGATGCAGACTTACTATTTCATCAGTTTTTGAGATTTTGTAAGTGATATATGATAGTGATGTATAGTGATATGATAGTGGTGTATAGTGTATAGATATAATATGATAGTGATGTATAGATGTATGAATATGATAGTGATGTATAGATGTACAGAAATCATAGTGATGTATAGATATGATAGTGATATACAGTATGATAATACAATATGATAGTGATGTATAGATGTATAGATATGATAGTGATGTATAGATGTATAGATATGATAGATGATAGTAACATATAGGGATGACATGAACAATATAATTAATGTTATTCATAATAAAATAAACATTTTGATGCCTTAAAAGTTTTTTAATACAAAAGTTATCTTTTTTATAACCTTTCTATTATTGTTTAAATCGTTATACAACCTTTCTTAATGTTTACTTGTGTAATTATGCTTTCATTATATACTTTATCAATAAAGTTGTTGCATATTATTTAGAACTTGTTTGATTGTTGTTACTTATTCACTTACTGTTGTCAAATTTAAGGTGTTTTTTTTATTTTGATATACAGTTTTCTTGTTAATTTTAGTCCAATCAACTCAGCCTTCCACTAGTAAGTTTGTATATTGCGATTTCGGTCATGTTTAAATAAGTAGAACATTAAAGATGTATGCTTTGGTTTAGTTCATATATTTTTTATCTCAAGTCATTTCCTAAACAATTGTGATTATTAAATTTAAAAGCTATTATTTTTTAACTTGTTAAAGATTTATTGCCAGTATCTTTTTTTTTGTGGATAACATCCAATTTGTTTTTAGTTCCATCTACATCTGAAACAGTTGGTAAGTTTAAGAGTCAACTTTTTTCAGCAGTGTATTGATTTAATCCTATTTTCAACTTTTTTTGTTTATTTTTATATTGTATCTTTTCGTGATATTAGTTGCATTTACATCCTTCATTTTTTCTATTAACTACACCTTTTTTACATTAAGCTTTATCGACACCTGCTACGGATGTCGATATCATTTCTTTTGTTATGGCTATGATGTAGATTTAATATCAAATTCAATTTTCTTATTGATTACAGCTTTTAAAGCTATTTCTTTATTAGCAGTGCATAGTCTATCTCATTAAAATTATACTATAGATTTAATCCCAATTTCATTTTATTTTTGTTGTTTACATCATTTTTTAACTTTTAGTTTCTGCAGCACAATCTTCTCCAGGTTAATGTATAAATTGAAATATTTCTTTATGATTGTTCTTCGTTTTAGAAAAACTTTAATGCTTATTTTTATTTTATAAAAATATTTTATTTTAATTAAGAAAATTCTAAATAAAAGTTTTTAATTTTTTTTTTTGTAAGGGTTTATATAAAATGTTTCATAATGCTTTCAAATTTTAACTATCAGTGAAAAGATGAATTTATACAAACAGTTGTCTGCAAAATAACTTAAAGATTTAGATAATGTGATATCTAAAAGAATTGTTGGCAGAAAACTCTGTCATGAATGGTATGATACTGACTCATCAAAGTCTATCATTTATGATGGTAGACTAGAAAAAGTAAACAAGAGACAAAATGATAGAATTTACACATTACATTGTACACTATTTCTTACTGGAAACAAGATAAAACTGATATCAAAGCTGTTGAGCATAAGATGAAAAAAATCCAGCTAGCTGCTGATGTTGTATTAGATTAGTTAATTTTTTCTTAGTTTGAATATAAAATAATGTAAAAAGGCTTGAAAAAAAAATTCTGCAAGTTTTGTGGCTTGCAAACAAGTACTTCAAGGTTTGTGGATTGCAAATAGATACAGCAAGTTTTGTGGCTTGCAAATGGGTACAGCGAGTTTTGCGGCTTGCAAATAGGTACAGCAAGTTTTGTGGCTTGCAATTGGGTACAGCAAGTTTTGTGACTTGCAAATAAGTGCAGCAAGTTTAGTGGCTTGCAAACAAGTACCGCAAGTTTTGTGTCTTGCAAATAGGTACAACAAGTTTTGTGACTTACAAACAAGTTCAACATGTTTTGTGGCTTGCCATTAGGTAAAACAAGTTTTACGGCTTGCAATTAGGTACAGCAAGTTTTGTAGCTTGAAAATTTTTTTGATAGATGGCTTTGGCTTACCTTCACATGGTGTCTATCATTAAAAATGATTTACTTAGTACATAAATAGAAATTAAAACATAAATTATTTACTAAAAGCCAAGACAATAGTTAATCACTTTTTTTATTTCAAAAGACTTGCTGCTTTGTGTTTTTTTTTTTTACGTTGGAGTTTAACAACAAACTTGCTTTACCTAATGGTAAGCCACAAAACTTGTTGTACTTGTTTGCAAGCCACAAAACTTGCTGAATCTATTTGCAGTCTTGTAACATGGTTAAAAAATATTTATTAAACTATTATATATGTGTTTAAAAAAGCCTTTTTAAACTTTTTTTGTTAAATTCTAATTAAATTTTTTTTTAGGTACGGAGCGAAAGGGGGGCGGCTTACACCCCCTTTCATGAAGACAATTTATACACCACTGTAACGTGGTAAAATAGTTTTTTATACTATTTTATATGTGTTTAAAAAGCATTTTTAAACATATTTTGTTAAATTCTCATTAAAACTTTTTTTTAGGTATTGGGCGGAAGATACTTTTAGGTATTGGGCGGAACCCTGACGGCTTACACTCCCTTCCAAGAAGGCAATTTATACACCACTAGTTACTATTTTTCCAAGTATCAAAATATATTTTGTATTTTTTATACTAAATTTAATTGTTTTAGTAAAGATTGAAATATTTAAAAGAATGAAATTTTGATAGGGTCTGTTAAACCTTATTCAAAACCCGACTTTGAGATAGACTTGTAATATTCGCTAGTGATGTGGAATAAAATAATAACAATTTTTTGTATATAAATATTTGTAATTTTAAAAGAAAAACACTTTTTTATGAAAAAAAACTGTATTTTTGTAAGGTGTTGGTGGTGTACCCATTAGTACCCCCTACAGTTTTATCAAGAAATCCATATATCTAAAATTTGCTACTTAAAACGTCATAACTTTTGATAGAATTGTCCAATTTTCATAATTTTTTCACTTTTGAAATACTGTATTTGAGGGCTTTCTAATAATATATAACATTCTAGTATTTGATCAATTTAAAAAAATAAGTCCAGGTACCTAATATATATATATATATATATATATATATATATATATATATATATATATATATATATATATATATATATATATATATATATATATATATATATATATATATATATATATATATATATATATATATATATATATATATGCCCTAATATATATATATATATATATATATATATATATATATATATATATATATATATATATATATGCCCTAATATATATATATATATATATATATATATATATATATATATATATATATATATATATATATATATATATATATATATATATATATATATATATATATATATATATATATATATATATATATATATATGGATTTGATATTTTGTTCAATATTTACATACTTTGGCAATCTTTTCTCCCCATGAACCTCGAGGAGGTTTCGCAGCCTTTAGTAGGTAGAGATTTCTCTGACATCCAGAACATATAACAATAGGATAGCTGCACACATCCAGAGAATATCCTGGATAAACAAACAACTTCATCAGTTCTTCTACCGTTGAATTTACACTAATTAAAGATTTAGACCTGGTTCCAAAAATTTCCCAACAACAACAGCACACAGCATTTCGTTGAAAAGCAATATTATTCATTTAAACAAGTTAAAAAAAAACTAAAAAGCTCTATTTTTTATAATATGCAATATAACATATTAAACTATTAGATCTATTAGATTATATATATATATGTATATATATATATATATATATATATATATATATATATATATATATATATATATATATATATATATATATATATATATATATAAACATGGGTAGGTAGATGTTTTTATATATTCATCTTTTTGACACTTGTTTTATATGGTAATGTCATTTTATTATGTGGTTTCAATCAATACCTAGAATGCTTTTTCTTCATAGTTTTCTTCATTGTTTTCTTCATATTTATGAAGAAAACGATGAAGAAAATTATATTCTTCACTTTAACATTTTTTGCAAAAATAAGTACAATTATTTATTTTTTTCAGGATGTAGTGATATTCCCTTTGCTATAAACCAATGATTGATTTTTTCCAATTTCCGGTAACATATTTCCGATAGCTGTTCATTTGAGTCAGCCTTTGCAATCATTGTTGTATTCTGAGCAACAAAGATGTAAAGTGTCAAGTTCTGTTGCACCCACATTAAAATAAATTTTGAAAAGCAATGGACCGATACATGTTTTACAATTGACTGCGTTCTTTTTGTCAATTAAAAGGTGATGTAAAAATAATAGGGGTAGTACAAAAAAAAAGTAAGTTGAATTGTCTTCATCGATGTCAAAAACATGCAATCCGTTTAGTCTTCTGTACAAATCTCACACAAAACATTATTTTATTGAAATAGCTAAATATATATAATGTTTTATGCTTTGTATACACCCCTAAAAATGACTTGCCGCTATCTGTCTTCAAAGATATTTTTACTCCGAAAATTATCAACAAATACTATTTGAGAAATACTGATTTTTTAAATGAACCTTTTTGTCAAATGAACTTTAATAAATTTTGTATTCCCTATCAGGCACAACACCTTGGGAGTAAAATCGTTTTGCCGACTTTGCTTTTGAACTACCCATTACTTTTTAAGTATTACAAGTAAATTAAAAACCTTAATTTTTTCATTAGATGACGTATTATCTTATTATTAATAATATGAGTTAATAACTTTGTCTTTACTTAGTTACATTTATAAAAAGTTTATTCTTAGGGGAGAGCGGGGCACGTTGTCATACATTTTTCCAGATATTTCAAAAACTAATTGGTCAATTTGCATAAAAACTATTTTATATGGTAGTTTATCATTATAGTTATTTAAAAAACAACTTTGGAAAGCTGTTGACCATTTGAGTATAACATGCCATCATTTTTAAAGAAGGCTTCATAGTGTGACAACTTGCCCTACCGTCGGGACAAGTTGTCATAATCATATTTTATCACGATTGTAGGTCTGAAAGTTAAAAAAAAATGTTCAAAAAGAAAACAAATATTTTATTAATCATTTATAATTTATTAAAAATAACAAATATAATTTATACACTAAAACACTTTGAAAATGACCATTAAAAATCATTATCAGAGTCACAATTATGAAAAATGTAGCTGAACCCTCCTACTGTACGTTCTTCATGCGCCCAGCTTGAGCACTCACAAAATTTAATCCATTTTTCAGCATCTCTGCTAATAGTCCAAGCAAATGATACAGTAGTTTTCATCTTTTGATTATCACTTTATCAGGCTTTTGAACTGTAACTATCTCTGTTCTGTCCATGCTCCAAATATCTGCTGGTATGAATTGGTGACGTTGAAAACACACTTAAAGATTATTGAAAATCATTTCAACATTTTGTTTGTTAAAACTTATGGCACGTGCAATGCTTGTGGCCTCTGCAGCTCTTAAAAACAATATTGGATTTTTTGGTAGGAAAAACGTAAACCAATCTCTCCTAGCATAATGATTGTCCATCCATGATTTTGGCATAGCCAATTTATAAGCATCTGCTAATTGATATGATAGTTTCCTAACATCTTATAATTTAAGACCAAAATATCTGAAGCTCTATGCAAGTAGCTACTGAGTTTAAGATGAAGCTCTTGAGTCAACACTTAACTAAAATAATATAAAATATATACCAGTATAAATACATATTTTATGGAGTCACTTATAATAAATATTACAATCCTTAAACATATTAACAATCTACAAACCAGTAACCAGTGTGAAATGAAGGTATTGTCAATTTTTTTTCAAGATCTTTTGTAGAGGCTTTTGACTTGAAGCGTTGTAGGCTTCTATAGTTGATGTTAAAATTTAGAGACACCTGGGCTATGCCTCTGCCATTTAGCTTTACAGCATTCACTGCTTCAAGGATTGTACATTTAGCAGTGGTACCCTTACTGGTTTTCCTTTGATAAATGCGAACTGTGATTCAGTGGCGGATTAAGACTTCTTGGGGCCCGAGGCTATTTTGTTTTGGAGGCCTTTTAATGGGCTTAAAAATGACTTAAAAAAAAAAGTCCTTTAAATTTTTTGGGGCCCCTAAATTTGCGGGGCCCGGGGCTATAGTCCCCCTAGCCCCCTTTCCTTGATCCGGCACTGCCATGATTTAAAATCTGATAAAGCAAAAAAAAGTTAAACTATTTTTTGTTAGTAAATTAATAAAATCAAGTCCAAGTAAATAATACTTTATAACTGTCTATAACTATCATTTGTTAATGTTTACTTAGGCTTATTAATCTTAAATATTATGTCTAATTCATTTTAATCATGTTTATTATTTATAATAAGTATTGTATGTATTATTAACATTCGTTTAAAAGTTTTACAACTAAATAAGAGTATGGATGCAATTTTTTTTACAATACAACTTGCCCCCTTTAAAATAGGACAACTTGCCCCACCTGGGGTAGAGGAACGTTTGACCTAAATAACTTTTTATCCTTGCTGTTTATGCTAAAAATGACTAGCACACCAATTAAAAAAAATTAAAAAATTATAAACATTTTAATGTATTAAACACATATATTGCATATTGTTACTGTATTGAATATTTGAACAAAAAAGTTAAAAAGTTACTTACCAACGAAGTTTTGACTTTTTTTGGATTTGTAGAAGAACTATTCGCGCGAATTTCATAAATCAACTGAGTAGTCATTTTTCAAAACTATTTATATAATATAAAAAAATCGAAGCATCAATCCAGCCATAACATTCCGACATAGCGACTATGACAATTAACTCTTATGAATTTTAACCCCGCTCTCCCCTACTTATTTTGCACTTTTTACCGCGTGATCTCTCTTTTGATTATATACTCTCTTTGGAATATGTACTATATAATTTGGAAATTTGCAGAAGGTAATTTTATTGATGTTACCTTTGTTAAATGCTTGTTTGAACTTACTTAAGGCTCTGACGACAGGATCCTTTGATCTTCTTTCAAATACCTTGTTTTATATTTGTTATATCGTTTATCAAAAATTTGTGAATTATTTTTCTTTTTGGCAGTATAAAATTGTAATACGACCAACAAATATAAAAAAAATAAAACTAATTTTATATTCTTTGTATTTACCGTTATCATATTGAAAATTTTTAAATTAGCATGTATTGCATTGTACCTTTTTGAAAGCCGAACTGGTTAAATGGAATGATTCTGTCTTTTCCAATATTTTTGATAATGCTAGTAATAATGGCCTGTAATTTTTCATGATAATATCATTATTTTTTTTATATATAGGTTTTATTATAGCTAACTTAGTGTCTTGTGGGAAATATTCATACTAATAGAATCGTTAGGTATTTTTGTTAAAATCAATGCAACTTGAGAAACATGTTTAATCAACTTGTTACTTAGTAGATAAAAATGAAAACTGCTTTTTGAAGCAAGATTATGAACCATTTAATTAAATTATTGACTCTTTAAATATTGACTTTATATCCCAATTAATATTGTGGAATAGTGGATATTTAAATCCCAATTTATATCGTGAAAATAAGATATTTAAATCCCAAAAAACATTGTGGAATAGAAGATTTTGGAATGGTTTAAGAGGTTAAAGTTTTTTGGCCTCAAGTTCAAGTGGAGTATCTTTAAAGTGATCAATAAGCAAATTTGCTATTTCCTGTTCCTATTTAATCAAACAGGAGTATTTTAAAATTTTTATTAAATAATTTTCTTTAGTAAATCTATGAAGGGCTTTATTTAGAACAACTCAAGTTTTCTTACTGTCCCCTTTACAATT